TCACCTCTTTCAGTGCTTTCTCGAATCTTCCCCATCGCACTTTTCGCTCAAATTTGGTGTGAACAAAAAATTCCTTTCTCACCCCGGGGCCCGATTGCATCATTTGGATAAATCTTGATCAACCTGTTCTGACAAAGATCTCATCTTTCTTTTCGTTCTTTGTCAATGACGAAATTTCTTTACTTTTTTAGAGGCTAGTACTTTGATTTTTGAAACAATCTTTACACTTTAAGAAATTCAAATTTGAGATGCGAAAGCTGTGTAAATGTTGCCTTTTTGATTGGCGGATTTTCGAATTATTGTGTGCTTTTGACGGCAAAAAAAGAAAAATGGATAGAGTTGCGAAATTTCACGAAAGAATTTAGATATTCTGTTTTTGTGCGTCTAGAATAAAGAATGCGAATAAACAAAGCACAAAGTAGAGATTTATTATTAGAAAAAAAAAGCAGATGATTAATCAACAAGTAAAACTACCGTAGATATCTTAGTTTTCGAAAGTTTTCGAAAGTTTACACGTTTTAGGAAACGAATCAATTCAGAGAGGCTACAATCTTTAAACAAATACTTTTCAATATAAATACAATCTATTACATGTGTCTCATTGTCTCAGATATTACGATAGTTTCGATCTTAACTTCATATATTAAAGATTTAAATATATAACTCTAGCAGTTTATCTGTAATTATAAGACCCCGCCCATTGTCTGTCTGTCTTTTCCCTTTCTTTCCCTTTCTTTCCCTTCCTTTTTCTTCTTTTCCCCAAGCCACGCCTACTCTTTTTTTCTGAATGTCCGAGAGAGATTGCCGCTTTTTCCCATTCTGACACCCTACACTATTTTATTCCTCAATATTTTTGCTTCTTCCTCTTCTACTTCTTCTTCTACTTCTTCTTCTTCTTCTTCTTCTTACCTGCTTACCAGTATACCCACATTTTATTGTACCTTCAAATAGTACATTTTTAGAAATACCTTTATTTTATCGTACTTTCAAATGAATATCGAGAATTAGTTATGATCGTTTGAGACTGGTTGAGTGGTTAAGTTTTTTAAGGCTATGTACCTGGTTAGGTACATAGCCTAGTTAAGTACATAGCCTGGTTAAGTACAAATCTTGGTTAAGTGCATAGTCTGGTTAAGTACAAATCTTGGCTAAGTGCATAGCCTACTGACTGTTCTGTTATTAGTAACTGTTAGTACTTAAATTTTACCAAGCAACTCCAACCGGCTATCTCATCAGCTTTTGCCCAAAGATCTGTAAAAACGCTCTAAGTTATTCTAAAACTTTATTCATTCTGTACATGTATCCTTGTTTAAAGTATTTATGTATAGAAAGAAGAAATGAAGATGGAGTGAAGGGGGTTGAGGGTTGAGCTCCCATCTAAGCCTCTCCTCTTTCTTTCTTGCTTTCCCTTCTTCATCGTTTCCTAGCTATCGACTCTCTCCTTCAAAAAGCTTCTCACAAATCAATAATATTTACATGTATATTCATTTTTGCTTTATTAATATAACTAGGTGATCTTCTCTAGCACTTGTTCTTTACATTTATTTACATTTATCCATTGTCTAATGGATATAATCATCATCTTGTATCCCGATCGTTTCTTTTTATATGTTACAGTTACAGTAAGAAGTTACAGTTACAGTAATTCTCCTTTCCAAATGAACTACCATTCTACTCTTGAGTTTTCTTATATACCTATACTCCTATATACCTATACTCCTATATACCTAGACTCCTATATACCTAGACTCCTATATACCTAGACTCCTATATACCCAACTCCTATATACCTAGACTCCTATATACCTAGACTCCTATATACCTAGACTCCTATATACCTAGACTCCTATATACCTAGACTCCTATATACCTAGACTCCTATATACCTAGACTCCTATATACCTAGACTCCTATATACCTAGACTCCTATATACCTAGACTCCTATATACCTAGACTCCTATATACCCAACTCCTATATACCTAGACTCCTATATACCTAGACTCCTATATACCTATACTCCCAATCCTTTGTCGAACATGCAAATATCATCTACCGTACCCCTTTACATCTGCTAAAATCACACCATTCCTTTTTCTTCATTTCCACTCCATCTTCTTGTCTCTTTTTTCAAATCTCTCCAATTTTCTGCTTGACTTTATTGACTTTTTCATTTTACAAGAAGTTAAGAAGAGAAAGATAGATCGAATTTGATCAAGTGAAATAAAAGAAAATGTTTGTAAAATTTTGTATTTTAATTTAAAAGAAAAAAGTGGTCTCTAGAGATTGGGGAAAACAGAGAATCTCCTGATTTTCCGAAAAACAATTAAGACAGTTTGGTTAAGACACAGACCAAAACACAGTTAGGTTTTTTTTTTTGAATCGTTCAGCGGATTCCCAGTGTAACAGCATAGTCAGTGATTTTTGTACACAGACGTGTACCCGCAATAGGATAGTACTTGTTTACCTATGAATCTTCTATTGTTAAGAATCGGGATCATTTTTTTTGGTCCGTTATTGTCTTGGTCGCACACATAAGTTATGAGCCATTCGGTGTTTCGGGGGAAAATGGGGGAATGGACGGCGGGTGGACGGGGGAAAAATCGATTTCCTTGAGTGTTGAAGTGTGCATTCACATTTCTTCTCCTCAAAATCCTTCTTATTCTTTTTTTTATGTGTCTGAGCGCCCATTTTGAGCTACCTCTTTTCTCACAAAAACTCGAAAATACCGGTATTTTATGAAAGATTTGAAAGAAAGAAAGAAAGAAAGAAAGAAAGAAAGATAGTCAATGAATCAAAAAAACTAAAGATCTCAGTGAATCCGAAAACTCATAGCACTTTTAGTACAGTATATTGGAAAACCTGTAACTTTTCTATCGTAGTTCTGTTCTGTTATTAGTACTAACAGTCTGTTATTAGTTAGTACTAATTTAAGTACTAACAGTTACTAATAACAGAACAGTTACTAATAACAGAACAGTTAGTAGGCTATGCACTTAACAAAGATTTGTACTTAACCTGTTTCTATCGTATATCTGTTTGTTTATCTGTAAGACTTGAATCTAATGTTACTTTCTGGATGATCTATCGTATTCCTTAGTCTCATTGATTAAAGGAATCATATTCCTTAGTCTCATTGATCAAAGGAATCGTATTTCCTTAGTCTTAGTACAGAGTATTCTACATATAAACCAATTTTTATCAATAAAAGTAAAATAAAGCTGTTAAGTTTACGGTAGATATCGGAAAAGAGATGAGGGGATTTTCGGGGGATTTGTGGATGGATGGATGGCCACCAGATGCCATGAGATTACTGAAAAAAGGAGAAAAAGCGAGAGTAGACACGAAATCCCCCCGGGGGGATACCCCCAACACCCAGAAAGGAAGCACACTAGACAATCATTGCCTAGAAGGAAAGAAATGGGAAAAGTCTACTAAATCAGTGCGCTGAAATTGCTGCCTTTTTGAAATACTCCTTTACTTACCCTTTTACTTACCTTTTACTTACCTTTTACTTACCTTTTACTTACCCTTTTACTTACCTTTTACTTACCCTTTTACTCACCTTTTACACTACCCTTTACTTACCTTTTACTTACCCTTGAAATACTCCTTTTACTTACCCTCTTTTTTTTTCTAAAAGACAATGGAGCGCACACCTGTCTCTCTTTTTCCAATTCCCTCGCAAGGGTCAATCATTTCGAAGGATTTCTTTTTCACCTTATCCTTATCTCATTCATTTCTCATCCAATTCTCATCCAATTCTCATCCCATTTATATCCTTGATCAATGAAAAGTTTTCTGTTTTTTCAAGGCAAATTTTACACCGTTTTATTGCTTTGATAAGATTTCACTGGAAGACCGAGTGAATCATTTTATTGGAAAATGGCTTATTCATAATATAAAGTTGAAGAAATAATCATAGACAAAATCGGGGTAAACCTGGCCTGGAAAAGGAGTAGAGAGATCGTAAAAAGGGGAGAGATGAGGTGAGCGAAGAGTCACTCACTAGGTAGTCAGATCACAACCCTTCCATCCCACCAGATCTTCTATGCACTCCTTTCTGAGTTTTACGACTTACTCACTCCCCTATTTCCCCTTCAACCTTTACCATTTCCGATTTCCGCTCTATTCCCCTTTGACAGACATATTGCAAAAAGCTATAGGTCTTTTTTTGACTCTTATTCAACTTGTTACTTTTTCTATAGTCTATGTCTAGAGCTTTATTATCTAACTACTTATCTAACTAGAGCTTTATTATCTAACTACTTATCTAACTAGAGCTTTATTATCTAACTACCTATCTAACTAGAGCTTTATTATCTAACTACTAACTGGTAATTAAAGTTCAAGCTCACCTTTCACTTGTTTCACAGTCTACAGCGATAATCATTCCATTCCATTCCATTCTCCATTCCATTCCATTCCATTCTCCATTCCATTCCATTCCATCCTCCATTCCATTCCATTATCCATTCCATTCAAGTTTACTTTTCTATCTTACCCTATTCATTTCTAGAATAAAGAGAACATTTGTAGAACCCAATGTGTACGATTTACAGCACTTTATCCATTAAAGCTCAAATTTGCTTTTCTATCTTGCACTTCAGCTGTATACGGTACAATAAATTCTGAAGTGGCAATTTTTATCTATCCACTTGCACTTAAATTTAATGGCTACGATACGGCAACGTTTATCCATCCACTTGCACTTAAATTTAATGGCTACGATACTGTCTGCAAATCTACCGTATCCCTAGTTGTCTAAAACAAGTCTCCCAATAGTTTTTCTTTTTTTCGTCATTTGCACATCGAAAAATCAATTTTTCATGTAAATTCCCCGTTTTCCCATTACGAAATCGGCACCTCACTCGTTGATTGTTGTTTTTTTTCGCCGAATAATGTCAATCAATCATTTTCTCGAGAAATCATTCCCTTTTTCCATCACAAATCAATTTTTCCACGATTCTCTGGATTAATTTCTCGATTTTCAGACACATGATGTGGACTCTACGGGCCCAAACGATGCGCATCGGGGATGTGATTTTAGAGGGAGTGCCGACACAGGATATGCTGGTGAGCTTAAAGAAATAATGGGGTAGGCTAATTTGCGCCAAATCTTTTGCACAACTCCCCATAACTTTCTTTTAAGTAAGCCAATCTTTATGATTTTTATGTCATTTTGTAGATCTCAACAAGTGTAACAAAATGACACAAAAATCATAAAGATTGGCCGACTTCGAAGAAAGTTATGGCGAGTTGCGCAAAAGATCTAGTTGCGCAAATGACCTAGTTGCGCAAAAAATTTGGCGCAAAGTAGCCTAGCCCGAAATAATCGATATAAAATAAAATAGATATATTTCTTACCCGATTATGGTATCTGATTTAAAATAAACTTCTTTTCAAATAAATGATATTCAGTCAACCGACTGAATACCGTTCTTATAAGAAAAACGAGCGGATTTCCGAGTGTCAACTTTCCTTTCAAAGAAAAATCTCAATGATCTCAATGAAAAATTAAAAGATTGAGAGGAAAAAAGGTTCGGAAAATCGTTTATCTCATAGAAATCTTTACAAAAGATCTGCGAAAAGAGCTGTCAGAACATTTTAGGCATAAAACATTTGAGGAGGTCAATGAGGGAAATCGGGTGTTCGGAATTTTAAGAGCTTAGATTCTCAATATATATAAATCTCAATTCGTTCAGGTGATGATGGAAATGGATGAGACGGAGATCGAAGAGTTGGATTTGGACTCGCCGAACTCGCATAACCTTACCCTATTGCAGCTACACAATTTGAAGGTTTGAGCTTGAATGCTAGTTTCCATTTATCGATTTGCAAATTAGAACTTGAGTATTATAAGGGTTAGCCGGAAATCTTATTGAAAAAAGCTTTACATAAAAGTGTTAGTGATTGAGTAGGTTTGTAAAGCATAACTGAAATTGAAATGAAACTTGATACTCGGAAGCTTCTTTCGTTTTTCTATATCGTAATCTTCATAAAGGATAATGAAATTCTGATCTTAAACCTGTATTTGTTAATTTTCTTGATTTCCAGACTATCGCCACCACCCTATTGGTCGATGGATGCGGCGATGATTTGGAGATGCTTTTGAAACATATCGTCACTGGGGGACAGGTCAGTAAAAATCTATATTATTATATTTTCCTAAAGACTACAATCTCTGACTCTCGTGATTTTTGAGTTGGTTTCTTAGAGAGAAAAGGTGAACATGTTGATGGATCAGTGACGGGTTGACTCTGAACATTTTTTCTGCATCAACATGTGATACTTTGTGCCAATGATCAGGGATTTTATGGTTTTCGGAAAGAAAATTGCAAGTTGCAAATTAAATTTCTCAAAAGTTTTAAGGCTTTAGGGGTAGCTTTTGCTTTCAAAAAATCCTAAAATTATAGAACTATTAGAGATTAGAGATTGTATTAGAGATTTTTAGCTTACCGTATCTACAGATTCATAGTTACTGTACCTATTCAGTCTACAGGAATGCTATCATCGACAGATCACTTCCAGAAAAGTTTTATTTACAGTTTGATCGTTGAGTATATCTTCATTTAACTATGGAGGCTCAAGTACGAGTCTATGACCAGATCAGCCTAAGAATAGATTGACCGAAATCCTGGGGGCTTGTACTGAGCAAAGATGGTCAGTGTTTTAGAAGGCTTAGGATTTGGAGGTCAAGGAAAAAGAATAGAAATCCCATTCTTCCGGTGATCTTCGATCATTCTAAAGGGGGGAATGGGGCAGATGGGATGAAGAAAGGAGGGAAAAGACGGAACTCGAGAAGATCAATACACAAGGAACATGGGAAAAGGGAAAGAATGGACCTAGACAGAGGAAGAGGATCCGATGACAGCCTTCTATAAGGAGGGAATTCTATGAGAGATGTTTGTGCTGCATTAGCATCTCTCTGTCTGAACAAATCGAGACATTCGAGGGCAGGGGTGACCCTTATCTTTCTGTACACAATGTCTATCTATGTCTTTCCCTTTAAGGGGTGTCAAGAAGCAAATATAACCTCTACTAGCTGAACTTTAAACAGAACAAAAGATAAGAAAGCTTTTTAGCAAGGAAAACAAATTGGGTCTTTTGATATATCAAAATAGATAAACCCTAGCGTCTCTCTCTAGCGCAGTGAGGAGCGCGCTTGTCCAGAACCCGCACGATCCGGGTTCGACTCCCCGTAGTGCCGCTAAATTTTGAATTTTTGATTTTAAAAGGCACAATTATACTATATTTTGAGACTTTAAAAGGCTTAAAAACTTAAAAACGTCTTCTTTAACTTCTTGATCATCCAATCATATATCCAGTTTTTAATTAGTAATCATTTTTCCCCAAGCCCAATATCTGGTGTTCGTTTAGGAAACCAGACTGAATATCCCTTTTTGAGGAGGCTGAAGGGCTCTTTACCCTCTCCCTCAAACCGAAATGGGATTAGTTGCAAAAAAAAAGGGAAAATCTGAAGAGTTTCTCTTTTTGAAATAATCAGCTCTCTTTCTTTTTTCTCTCTTTTTTCAATAAAACGTAACAATTATCCCCCGAAATTCCCTATCTTTGCGAAACAGCTGAAATTGTGATTTCCCGTGCCATTCACATGCACACAATTTTTATGAGGTTTGTCTGGATAAATGGGAAAATGGATCTATAGAAATTGTTGATCGATGATCGTTGAACGGTCAAATGTATTCGTTCAAATGGGTAGCCAAATTAAAAACTGGGAAAAGTACAGTTTAGTATTAGTTTAAACATTTTCTAGACAAGCCACAGATCACTTAACGTAAAAAGTACTCATCCGGATACGTTATCGAGCTTATCTATTAGGTTGATGCAAAAGTCTTTTTCATTTTTTCATACTTCTTGAAAAATAACAAAGTCACAATTAACCTATGGTTTGCTCTAAATGAAAAGTGTTTATTGTTGAATTCCCATCTTTTTAAGTCAATTTGAGTTCACTTTCAAGCAAATTCGAAAGTGAAAACGGGTTTTTCATAAAAATCTATAAAAACCTCTATAAAGAAATTGGCTGAATCAATTTCTCTGAAAATCTGAAAAAATATCTAACCCGGTGCTCTATCTTTTATTTATTAACATCAAGATTGGTTTCCTTAGCTAAAGCGTCTAAAATGCATCAACGAGCCGTCGCCTTTGACTACCCGGTCAGGTCCAAAAAAATCTAGACCATAGGGATTTTAAAGGGAAGTATTCATAAACTTAATTAATGATAGTTCTAGTTGTCTCGTAAAAAGTATTCCTCCGAATTTATCTGGTTTACTCGAATCCCTCGATTCCTCAAAAAGCCAGATGTTTTTCTGAATCGTTCACAACTCATCGAAACAGCTTGGCTCACTAATTTATGCGGAAAACAGATCGCCAATCGTAAATTATCTGATGACGGGCAATTCAAAGAGAATGAATCGATCGGCCGAACGAATGAATGATGGAGACCAGCTGGTGAAGACAACAAAAGACAAAAAGAGAGACTCAAATGCCTTGCCTTGCCTTCTCTTCTCTTTTCTCCTCTTTTCTTTTCCTTTTTCGAATATGACCCCTGCTAATTGGGGGTGAAGAGCATTTGTTCTTTAGAGATTCATAGAAAGAATAATTTAAAATCTCTGTGCTTGTTTTTTAAACAGTTATGTTGAACAATTAAAGAAATTCAATGATGACTACAAGTAGCCATTGGCTAATATCAGAATTTACTTCCTGTTTTTGGCTTGGATCGGATACTGTAGCGACTACCGACCATTAACAAGGTTACGGTAGATAAGTGACGCTTTGAAGTGCTTATCCGATGCTCTGTCCCAACTACCGTACATAAAGACGACTAGAGTACAGAAGTGCACAGGTTACGGTAGATAAGTCATGCTTTAAAGCTTGGAAAATGTTTACAAGCTTCGACTAACTTTTAAAAAAAACTTGTCTGGATCAATCTTTGAGATATTTATAAGCTGATTTGAATTGGATTCTTCTTTCTTCATTCTGAGAGTGTTATCGGGATAAGAAGCGTTATAAACAACAGATTAATAACGAAAGCCGTGTTTTCTAGTCCTCTTAGATTTAGATTTAGATTTAGAAACGATAAACTGGTGTCTATTTTGAAAATTATTCTAGTTTCACCCTGATCGTTGATCACTTCCCATTCACCTACATTACGGTTTATGACTATCCCCCTTCTCTATTCCAATTTGAAATCCCATTTAATGTTTTTGCTCTTTTATGGATCATTAGCTTTGTGATCGCTCGATGGATGGAAGGGCTGAGAGAAAGCTAAAAGAGAAAGCTAAGGCTAAAAAGGGACAATAAATCCGTCCAATCACAGACAAAAGCGCTTCTATACGGATTTTCTATTCTATTCGATGATCTATCACAGCTCATCAGCAGGGATATTCTTGTAAAGCAGACAAAGAGAAAGACAAAATCCGACGGGGTTCAGAGACTCGACTGTAGCCAGACAGCTCATTGTCAGCACAGGGATCTTCCTATAAGCCGGACAGGCAAGCCAAGCCTAGAGCCCAGCCAGAAGCTAGTTCCAGAAACTTTATATGACTCAAAGCCGCAGCAAAGCCAAGTCCTGATCCTGAAACAACCCTGGCTTAGGTGGGACTTAGCAAAATTTCATAGCAAATTCCATAGCGACAAATGATAGATTTTCCCGGTTCAAATACAATCAATACATCATCCAGGCACATTCTATTTGTGCTCACAATCAAAAAACAGCCAATCAGCTTAAATTCTTTGTGTATTGATTCGGATAATTTTTCTACATTCAAAATTCTATCAACTCTTTCTTTTCGAATGTCATTTCGAATGCGAAGGGAACACTTTTCTCGTTCTTGAGAAGAAAAAAAAGAAAGAAGAAAAGAGAGAAGAGAAAATGAATTCCCTTTTTCAATTTTTTTTTGCGTGCTTCCGTGCAAAAAATTATTTCTAGATCCACCCGTCTTTCAGAGAAGAAAAAAAAGAAAAAAATCCAATTATACGGGGGGTTTCGATTATTTTCGGAACTCAATTTTTGAGGCGTTTTTTTTTCGTCGACCACAAGAGCAAAGCTCGATTTGAGAATTTCGGGATAGGAAAAGTCTCGTTTTTGACGGATTTAAGGAAGTTCGACGTAAGCACTTCATATCGGATAGGCGAGTAAATAGCGAAACTTATAGTTTAAAGTAAATAGTTTAAATCTGAAAGCTTTAGCCCAGTCTTTTAAGCTGTTAACTGAATACTTAATAACAATAAATGATTCATGTTACAAAACGATTTCTTGGGACAAAGCTAGACAAAGCTAGGACAGGTCAAAACCTGGCATTGCTTTGGTTTGATCTGGTTTGACCTGACATACCCGGAAAAGCTTAGGCTGATCCGGGCATTAAGTATTCAGTTATCAGCTTAGGCTGATCCGGCCTGGTCTGGCTTGGTCTGAATTGATCTGCCTGAACTGACCTACCGGCCCTAGAACCCCGTCAAATCATTCCACCTAACCAATACCTACCCAGCCTATAACAGCCACTCTACCTATCCAGCCTACCCATCTACCGTACTCATTTCCCCCTCCAAAACCCTGTTTACATCTTCTCAAATTTCCCATTTTATCATATGGAGGGTGGTCCCGAAACGACCAACCAGCACCCCGAAAAAAAAACCGAAGTGGCTCAAATTTCAGCATACAGATTTTCAGTCAACCCCACAAAAAAAGGGGAAAAGAAAGCCGGGAAATCTTTTTTTTTTTGCTATGTTTGTTGACAGAATGAATGAAAATGGATGGATGGATATATAGAAGGGGAAACATCTCAGATTTCTTTTTTTTGTGCATAAAAACATTGAGCTTTGGCTTGGGATTTAAAATTCTATCAGAAAAAGGAAAAAGGTGCGAACGCTTGGAGGGAGAAGAGAGAGAGAGAGAGAGAAAAAGCGGTGTGGGTGGGCTTTGTTCTGGGATTTTTTTTTGTGAACCTATGCAATTTCTGGATTCGATTTAAAAAATGGAACAATGATGTTAGATACGATTTGAAATAATGCTGCTAATTGGTACTGTAGCTTACGATGTAGCTAAAGAGTGCTACAGCTGACGCTACTCAAAAAAAAAAAAGAAAAAAAAAAAAAAAAAAAAAAAAAAAAAAAAAAAAAAAAAAAAAAAAAATGCTGTGCACAGCTTACTCTTGCTGTGCTACAGCTTACTCTTGCTGTGCTACAGATTACTGTAGATAGTTTAGTGCCAAATAGAAGTCAAAGAAAAGCTCATAGATTGAATATTTCTACTGTAATTTTTTTTCTAGAATCAAATACTTCTAGATTACTTCTAGATTACTTCTAGATTACTTCTAGATTACTTCTAGATTACTTCTAGATTACTCTCAAAGTCTATCTATTATCTCCCAATTTCCCCATCCCCCATCTCTTTTTTTCTATTCTATATTAGTGGGCATCAATTTTTAAGTGAATTTATACGATTTTATCTTTTAAATAAGGAAATAGACAAAGAAAAGATTAAAAAAACAAAAATCCAACAGACAAAAGCTTTATGAGATTCCCAAAAACACTTTTTTTAAGGGTTTAACACGCTCAAGAAACTATAACTAGCTATTAAAAACTAAAAACTATAACTAGCTATCAAATGAATACTTTCCTACTTTCCAAATATCATTCCAACAATTTCAGGTGGTCATTGAGTCGGACAGTCAACCATTGTGCCGTCAATTTCTTCTCTCGTTGACGAATCTCTTGCCGCTTGGGTGCGCGAAAATGTGTGGATGGAGTGACGTGTATCAGCATCGATTCATGTGAGTTTAAAGAAAATATAAAATAAATGAGAAACTTGAATCCGAAAAAGCCCAGGGCTTTTCATCTTTTACCTCATCAAAGCCCTGAAACAAAGCCATAAGACAGACAAAGCCATTCATTTCTCACTTCTAGTTTTTTATCTCAAAATCTAAATTTTATTTTATTTTATTTTTATTTGCTTTGCCTTTGCAAAGGAAAAATTCATATTTGCGTTTAAAAGAAACTTGAAAAATTGCGCTAAAAAGGCAAATATTGGATTGGATTGGATTGGATTGTGATTGTTGATTGATTGATTGGATTGGATTGTTGTATTGGATTGGATTGGATTTCATTGGATTTCTTTGGATAGTTAATGGATGAATTTGATGGGACAATTCATTTTTTTGGTTTTTGGTCATCTTTTCTTTTCAATTGAAAGCTAAGAGAAAAGAAAAAGAGAAAAAAAAAATAAAATGAAAGTCGAACTCTTCGAAAGAGGGGATGGTTGAGGGCTCTCTTGTGTAAATACACTTACACATCGCACACATACATAGCCTCCTACTTTTTGCAATTCTTTCATTTTATGCTTGTTTCGCTTGTGAGATTTAAAGAGTACTTAGGGTGAGTTAAATAGGAAAATTGGAGTGCTGAAAGAAGAAATAGACAGTATGAAACTTGATAGAACTGCAGTTTTGGTAGTCAGTGTTCACTCAACACCTTTTCTAAAACTATCGTCACCTTGTTAGCTTTATCGAATCTGTCTACTTTCGGTAAAGCATTAGTCAATGAAATCTAAAACGACGCTAAACCAATGTCTATTTCCTAAAGCTAAAAACTAGTCGTAATAAAGTAAAGAAATAGCAAATCAATAGCAAAGAATAGAGAGGGAATTGAACCCTCGATCTTCTGCTCTTCTTCTGCTCTTCTTCTTCTTCTCTCCACGCAGATACCACTGAGCTATCAACGCTTTACACAAGTTCCTTTTTTTTGCTCTAGCTCTAGCTATAAGCATATAGATTTTATTGGCCGTCAGTTTTATTATATAGCTTTTGATCAAAGGAGTCCGGGCGTAAAGAAGAAGAAAAAATAAAGACATTAAAGTTGTGGGGTGCTCGAAACGACATCGTTTTTCCACTCTTACTCTTTATTTCTCCCAAAGAAATCATCCCGACGGGCAATATCGTAAATGGCTTTTCTTTTAAGTTTTTTTTAATGATTTTGAATCTTCTTGGGGGCTCAACTACTCAAGATACACCATCTGTGAGAGATTACGCAGATCGAGGATTAGGGTCCACCACGAAGGGATTCCGATATGATTGACTTCTAAAAATAAGATTTGAAACGATAAGCAGACTATGAAACTTGATAGAATTGTAGTTTTGGTAGGCAGTGTTCACTCAACGCCTTTTCTAAAACTATCGTCACCTTGTTAGCTTTATCGAATCTGTTTACTTTTGGTATCAGCCTTAGACTAAAAGTAGGCTTGGATACAAACGAGTATGATAGTTTTTGAAAGAGGACATGACTTAGAGTTGACTGGAACACAGATAGTTAACTAGTTTAGAAACTAGAACACGAAATAAAATAATAAATTTAGAAACTAGAACACCGATAGTTAACTAGTTTAGAAACTAGAACACAGATAGTTAACTAGTTTAGAAACTAGAACACCGATAGTTAACTAGACAGATAGTAAACTAGTTTCATAATTTCTATTTATCATTGTAAATATCGCGAGAACATCTGCATCTTTTCAAAACATTCTGGAAACTTTCTATATGTCTTTCTATATGTCTAATATCTAGGACTAACAAAATAAGTAAATCTACGATGCATAGTGGTGGAAAGGATGTAGGGGATTGGAGATGGTGGAGACGGTGTGCATCCGAGCGTGACTCTCAACCCGTAGGAGTCAGTTAGAGGAGTGGAAAAAGAAAGAGATGGCTGTTTGGATTTGCTCCTTTTGCATATCGTCCCTCTCTCTCTTTCAGCACTTCCCCGTCAAGAGAAAGGACTACCCAATTTGGACAGGGAAGGGAGGGAAGGGAAGGGAAAGGAAAGGAAGGGAAGGGAAGGGAAAAGAAAGAAAAAGGGTAAAGAGAGTGAGTGCATTATGTGAGCGGACCCCGCTGTGACGGCAATTATCACCCAACCACACACAAGAGAGACGGGGGTAAAAAGGCTGACATCGCCTCAACACTCACCGAATCTCCTGGGGATTTGCCCTGATTTTTTTCGTGCGAAATTAGTAGAAATAAGTTGATGAGGTACAAGTGAAACATTGAGTGAAGTGTTTTTCGATTTTTGAGCACAAGTAAACCAGTAAACCAGTAAACCATTCGTTTCCAGGGTGAATCTATTGGGATGTCCATTGAACACGGATATCCCATTGGATGCTGAGGAATGCCTTGTCATTCGTCTACTCTCAAATGGTTGTGATGGATTGCTTTTGGATGGAACGAATATGGAGATTCGTCGTCGTCCGCAATTCGCCGCATTGATGCCGAAGATTGTCCCTCGATTCAAGCAATTGTTGCTCGGTGAGTGGAAACGTATAGAAAGCAAAAGACAGTCTTGCAAGCAAGAGGTCAAAGAGCAAGAGGTTTTATGGATTGATCGCTAAAAGATCGCCGGCGCCAGGAATCGAGTCAGAGACTTGTCCCTTTCCAGGCGAACGCTCTACCAATGAGCTAGAACGACAAGAATCTCATTGCCTCCAGGATGGGGTCATACTCAAGATTAAGAACACTGGTTGCTGATAAAGCCATTACATCATTAGTATACCGAATGCCGCCAAGGTGTTTATACTGCCTGATGGCCGAGTGGTTGGAGTCTTGTAATCAGGGGATCGGAAAGCCGGAGGGTCCTGGGTTCGACCCCAGCTGCTGGAAAATTCGACGCCGTTTTCAAGTTTTGAATTTCCTCTTTTTTTCTGGACATCTTGAGAAATATTAGAGCATTATTAGGGCAATATCTGGCTTGTATGATACCAGAGTTAGATGCCTTTTTTCACCCACGAATTTTAGATCCAGAGATCGTGGACACGATCCTCGAAACAACGCTCCGATCAACTCGCGAGAAATGGTTGGCTAAAGCCAAGCAGGTATCCCCACACCCCATATTTCCCTCAATCCAATTCCCCAATTTACAGTTCTACCAACTGCAGCGTCAATCGACGAAAATCGGCTTCGACAAGGCCACTCAACTCGTCCGAGCCACCCCACATGTAAGTGATCACTCTTTGCTAAAGTCAAGAGCAAGAGTCAAAAGTGTATCAATAGAAGTCCTAAGAGTAGAAAAGGGAGGTCCAAAAGGCTAGAGACGTGGGGTGTTGTCTGCTTGTCGAAACTCCGGCCTTCCATTCAATGGGAAAGGGGTGCGCGGCTGTGCCCCCAAATCGATTGCGCATTCTCTGCCCGTGTTTTCAGTATTCCAAACCTCTTCAACTCTTTCATCTATCCATTCTTTTCTTCTCGTTTCCTCTTTCCTCACACACGGCCATCCGCAGGTTTTTCTGAGTGGGGAAACTGGGGGACAGGGTTGAAAAAAAAATGGGCTGTGAAAGAATCGTTTCCGAGGAAAACGCGTCGAGTTCTCATCGACACAAAAAAACTCTTCAAGGGGTCGATTGTTTATTTCAACTTTACTAAAAGAAATTTACACTTATGACTAAGCTTTTGTTGAGATTTTGGGGCTAAAGATAGATGATTTTGAGATGGATAGTTCAAACGCAATCGTTGAGTACGTTAACGAGTTGAGTGATGAGTAATGAGTAATATTGATTTTGGGAAAACTACGATAGTTTTTCACATTATCTATTTTTTCGAAAGTCCACTTCAATATAACAAACTTGTACCGGATTGTAACACTAGACTCAATAAGGATGATGGTGAGTGGGAATGACGATGGAGTGGACCAGTGATAGGAAAAGGGAGATTGACTCTACGCAGGATGATAGTTTCCCTCAAGAATGACGATGGAGTGGACCAGTGATAGGAAAAGGGAGATTGGCTCTACACAACACTCGCTCAAATATGCATGTAGGGGCCTTCAAAGAACATGTTCACAAGATTATTCGAGAACAAAATCTTCTCAATCAATCTTGAGAAGATAAGAAAGAGTAAAAGGAAACCTGAAATCAAAAATCGATGTTTTTTAAGAGTTAGCAAATCTAATCTGATAATTTTAGGACAAGATGGTGCTGATCTTCTGGCAAGCGGGCCTCTCTCGTGCCTTCAAAGAACATGTTCACGAGATTATTCGTGAACAAGATCTTCTCAATCAAAAAACGCCACAAAATGGACAATCGACTGCCTGTTAACAACGATTTGGTTGAAGAAACAATTGGTTGAAGCTTTCGATGATCTGTATCACCGCATTTTGAGTCTCTTAAGTATAATGCTGTCGCATTGATCTTCTTGGATCTTTTTGCATCAGCATTCACTCCCCCTGTTCCGTTTAGATCTCTTTCTTTCTTTTTATCTTTTGGGTATGAGTACTGTAGTCGGATACAGTACTGTAGTCGGGTACAGTACTGTAGTCAGATACAGTACTGTGATCAGATACAGTACTGTAGTCAAATACAGTACTTCTTCTCTCCACTGTGTATCTTTTTGTGTGATTTGTTTGTGAAAATTCTCTTTGCAACGTTACGGTATAGTAAAAACAAGGACAAGTGTCAGACTGTAACTTAAATTTGCATAAGGTTACGGTAGAAGTCGTATGTATTCAAGAAGTCGTATGTAAATTTACTGTCGACAAGAAAGGCTTACTGTAGTCGAAAGTTGCATACGATTGCAATTTAGCATATGATTTGGTTATGATAGACAAGGATTATGATGTCAACTATCGACTTAAACTCCCTCTAGAGTAAGCGATCTCAAGTGCCTTGTGGTGTAATGGTTAGCACCCTTGCCCGCTAAGCCAAAGGTCCCGGGTTCGAATCCCGGCAGCGCATCTTTTTTGATCTACCCTAGTTTCAACTATCGTATGCAATTTAGTAAGGAAAAGTACAAGGTAGGAAAAGTACAGTAAAGTTTTCTTGTCTAAGATCAATTTGCATACGAAACTTTAACCCCAGAGAAACCCAGTCAAGCCAATCGCCGAAACGTTGTAATGGCTCTTTCACTACATAAACATTCGTGGATACGGTGAAATTTCCCCTCCCCACGCACCAAAAGTTCGTTTTCGTTTCCCCTATGGGTAATCTGATCGATCAGCTTTACTTGACCATTTTTCTCTTGTTATTTTAGGATTTTTGTTTTTCTTCCTCAACAATAGTTGCCTGCTATTAAAGTACGGTTTCGTGGTTTTCGTCCCCTTTTTGTCGTAGTCGAGTTGTCATTTTTCTCTCATTTTTGATGAAAAGGCTGGACCTGGTAATCAAAAAAGACTTTTCCCCAACTTTAGTCAATGATCTAGACGCTAAAATTTAACCAATGATCTAGACGATAACTTTCCATTCTCCCCTCCCAAAATCCCGAATCTTAAGCCAAAAAAAAAACGGTTTTTCTTTTTTTTGAGAAATTTTCAGGTGTAATTTCTAGACGTGTCCTCTTTATTAGGTGACCACTTTGTCTCTAGTTAGATTTTCTTTACATTTTTTTTTGTTAAAGCTCGTGATTTTCTGTGATTTTCTTGTATTAGAATAAAAAAATAATCAAAATAATCAAAAATTTCATTATTCTCAATAAAGACAAAAAAAAAACCGTAAGCGTAAGTGAGAAAGGCTACAGAGAGAATTTACTGCCCGTTATCCGGGATTATTGAATGAGTAGCTAGATTTAAAGGCTCATAACTTTGTGTAGACGTTATGTTATTGTTACTTTTGTTATATCGTTTTATAGAGGACATTTCAAGCTTTGAGATGATACCAAATAGAGGTTGATTGCTCTGATAAATCCTGAGAGAATCGAGAGACAAAACTCTCAACGTTGATCGCATGATTTTCACAGTCAAGTCCTCTTCGTTGCTGTTTTCTCTGGATTTACCAGTGTAATCTAGCTCTATTTCATATCATTCGAAAGCCTGGAGTCTCCCTATACAATGATATAAGAAAAGTAACAATAATACAATCTCTAGAGAAAGATATGAATCTTCAAAGTGCGACCACTTATTCAAATCCGGATAACGGAGAAATTTTGGGAAAAAGAGGAGAATTTCTAGAAAATTGCACAAAAATGAAAAAAATGATCACAATTCGAGGAGAAAATGCAATTTTTTTAGTGACTAGCGATAGAAATTTGATAATAATAGAATAGTCGAGTGGTAATAGAAGGTAATAGAAGTGGTAATATAGAATAGTCGAGTGGTTACCATGTTAGCCCCTCACTTGGAGTGGCTCGAGTTCGATCCCGTTCACGAAAACTTTTGAAAAAGCACCAAATCGTTTCCAAAAATTCTTTTTCGCATTATCACATGAGACATCGATGCATAGACTGTACAAAAAAAAGAAATCTCTTTTTTGCCGATTACAAAGCGGTGCTGATCACCAAGGAGAGCCCGTGAACCATCATTGTCGGCGGGAGGGTGTCCGTCAAAATGCGCAACAAGCGCAGATATCTGAAAGATGGGAAATAGGGATAAATATTGTCGATATGAAATTGAATAAATATTGTAGCCATCAGTCTACAGGGATCTTCCACCTTCCCAGAAGCTGAAAAGCCAGACAAGGCAAGGTCGGAGTGAGGCCAGGCCAGGCCAGGCTGCAACAACTCCAGATCTGGCCCAGCAAAAGTACACTTTTAAACTTTTTCCTGGTCTTTCCCTTTAATTTCATTTCCTCACTTTTCCGAGTCCATCTCAGCGCTATCCGGCGGTAGCGGAAGATTCAAAAAGCAAAGCGCCGCCTCAGCTGAGTATCTGAAATCATTAGGGTTAGGAAAAATGGCAATAATTTGTATCAACAGTAAATGCTTTAGTTAGACAGTAAAATAGTAAAACTTCGCTAAATATAATAATAACTAATAAATAAAAATCGATAGCTCAACAAAAACATTTCCGACCTTCGAATCATATCGTTAAATGCGGTTACGTATGGCTGAGGAAGTTCAGTCGTTGGTCTAAAGTTGATTCTTTTGTTATTTTTGTTGGAAGTTGGTTCTTTTGTTATTTTTGTTGAAAGTTTATTAAACTTTCAACAATCTGAAATCTTTGTATATGAATTTATGAGAGTTCAACTCACTTTAGAGGCATATTCTCGGTTTGTTGCCCGAAATGACATACAACGTGATCCCACGGAACAACGATTGATTCAGCCTGGAATTGACGTTTAGAAAAGTCCAAGAAGTGGCTTATTTTAAATATAACTTGAAATTTACCATATATAAAAGGAAAGTTTCTGTACGCGCGAGTTCTCGACTCCCCGTGGGCCGATTTACATGATTTTTAGTTTGTTAGGCTTAGAATTTAGAATGTTAGGCTATATAGTTGTGCATCTTAACTTTCGTCTTTTAAAACGCAAGCCGGGAGTCGAACCCGGATCGTGTGGGCTGTAGACAAGCGCGCTGCTGACTGCGCCACGACGACAAAACGACCGAAACCCCTGTCTACTCACTTTTATCCTCAACGCGTCGAGCATCATTTTGAGTTGTTTCTCGCGGCGATGCATGTCCTGTAAAAGGGAATTGTGGGGAAAACTTGTAAGACTTTTGATATCTCAAAAATTTGCATAATATAATATTTGAGTTTATCTATAATCTCTTAAATACCTGTAAAGAGTTGACACAAATGAAAACCCTCAAACGAGCGATGTTTCTCCAACGGGATGACATCGACAAAATGCAGGCAAGCTGCAAGAGGAAGAGGGAACTGAAAATTTTACATTTTAAAATGTTAATGTTTATGTTTATGATATTTATCTACCGTAAATACTGTAATAGGACCCCGACCCCCTCGTACAGTCGCGTAGTCGCAAAAGTTTTTTAGTATTTCATTTTTTTTCAAGCACCCGTACTTTCAAAAAATGTGTCTTTGGCATCAAAAATAGCTGAAATTCAGGGCTATTTTTGATACCTACGCGCGCATTGTAGCATAAACCAGTGTCGAGAAAAACTCGTTCAAAGCTAGACTACGTAATACTCCGCACCGTCATTATGGGGGGTGGGGTACTATTACAGTATTTACGGTAGGTATTTCCCTTTTAACTCACCTATTATCCCATCCCAATCCGGTCTCTCCGGGTTTTTGCAAATCAACAGGCCAAACATCGATGAATCTCTTTTGCCCATTCCATCCCCGAGCCAGCGCCTCTTTGTCGAGTTTGTAGAAATGCCGCGCGACGCAGAGATTCTTCGTCATATGAAGTACATCTAAAAATTAGGCGATAACTTTGTTATAGTTATTTAGGCAAGTTAAATCTCTCTTTGCGATGACTTACAATTGTTTTAAGCACTTGATGGAATATCTCATAGAATTTTAGAATCTAGATGATTCAACGATCATTTCTAACTATCAAGAGCCGCTTTAACTTATCTAGATAAGTTAAAGCGGCTCTTGATAGTTAGAAATGATCGCTGAATCATCTAGATTCTAAAATTCTATGAGATATTCCATCAAGTGCTTAAAACAATTGTAAATCATCGCAAAGTTTGTTACCAAGACAACACATTATACTAGGCTGATTAAGGTTTTCAATAAATCTGCCCATTCTCCTGAGCAAAAACTGATAACATATAGATATAGATAAAAGATTTGCAATTAGGTCATCCTGTAATTGAATAGAGCCATTAAAGCTATTGTAGAAAGAGAAATTATATTACTATAGCACTCAAAAGTCAAGTATTCTGGTAAGTTGAATAGTCTTGGCTACAGTAATCCCAAATGAAAAGTATCCAGCCTGTTGAGTTGAAATTTGATGGTAAGCTAAAGGTACTTTAAGACGCATTGTCAGTATTGTATCTTAACTAAAGTACACTAGCTGAGAAAAAGCTCAGCTTTTCCCCAGTGAGACTTTACAGTAACTTGGCTGATAGCGCTGAAAGTTGCTTATGATATTCACCTTTCAATGCATTCACATAGTCGACACTTCCAATTCTTTCCATATTCCCATTCAACTCCTAAAAAATAAATGCAATCGGTAAAATTATCGTCTTCATTTACCGTAGGCATGTAATCCCCAGCTGTGAAATATTCAACAACAGCCGAGCGATCGATTTTCGAATAGCGGAGATCTTTCAAAAGTTGTTGTTCCTGGAATTCCTTTGCTATGATAAAAGCAAACTTTTAGACACTATTTGAATAGCTGTATACTGAATTAAGATTAAATTATCATTTAGTTTGAAGAGTTCAAACTTTCTACCTGTAAAGTGGCCTCTCTGGGGTTCTCTTCGTGAAAGCCGAGCACCACTGTGTTTGGCTTCATCGCACCCAAGCCGGAGAGTCTCATCAACTAAAAGTGATTACGTTTTTGTTTGTGTAAGGTTTTTGAGATTCACCTGTTGCAATCCAATTCGAATATTGTTCGAGATTGTCAATTCAACGAAAGCCTTCAATTTGAGATAGTCGATTAATGAGAGCCAGTAGGGAAAAACCTAGAAATTGTATTCTTAGGGTTAAACTTATCGACACAAACTTGTTGCAGCGGATCGATGGGTTCTTGTGCATCCATGGCTCCTTTTCGGACGTGACCGATCACATAAAGACCTAGAAAATTGTCAGTAATTAAAGCTAGAGTTTGTCAACCGCTTTTCTTCAAATCGTTCACAAAATCCATCAACTGAAAAGCAGAAGCCGGCCGAGACACACAAAGCAAAATCTGGGGACGCCAATATCTAAATTATTATTTATAAATAAAACTTCAGTCTTCTTTACTTGACATGTTCCTTTCTGACATCAAGCAGCAATAGATATTTCCTGACTTGATGATAGATAAGAGCTTGAGAGATCGATCCCCATGAACCGACGGGAGCTTGGTAGTGAAGAATCATGATTAAAACCAACAGTACCTAGAATTTTCAGATTTATCTTTATCTGACTACTACAATAAAGTATTACAAGTAATATATAGCTTTTCTGAAAAGCTATATATTACAATAAAGTAATATATAGCTTTTCAAGTTTAAAACTAAATTTTTCAAAGAAAAAAACTGACAACAATAGCGAGTGCACTCATCGCCGAGTCGACAACGAGCATCATTGTCGCCGTTGCAATCACTCCGCCTGTACACGTTTGCCAGGAGAAATATTTGAAGGTTGGTCTGAAATTGGATATTATAACAATAGAACAATTTTAAATTAAACCTAAAATTTGGAGCTGAGGTGAGCTCCAAGGCCAGTGTGGCAATGTTCACTCCCATGTAGGACAACAGGAAGAAAATCGAGGTCAACTTGGCGATCTTGTTCATTGCACCGATTGAGAGAACTAGCTGGAATAGATAAAGTTTGTTTAGAATTTAGAAGTTGAAAGATTAATTAGAATAGGACTTAGGATAGAATTTAGGAATTGAAAGAGACGTACCACGACGAAAATCCACGAAATAAACACAGAGACAACGGGATTTTTGTCGCCGATTTCGATAGAAGCCGGACGGAGCAAGATGCCGAAGAGTTTATCCTAAAATTTTAGATATTATTAATAAATATCTAAATATCTATTAATATCTAAATATCTATCAAATAAAGTACCTGTGAAAGTCGATTCAGCACACGACTCGAGCCGATTAAATTCGAGAGTGACGAGAAAACGGTTGTCGAGAAGATTCCCACCAAAATAAACCATCGAGAGACGTTCACGTCGAGCATCACCTACAATTGAATAATTGAATAATTGAATAGCTTTTTTGAATCTATAATATATAATACTAATTTCTTACCGTATAATTATTCTGTAACAAATCGCGGCTACACGTCGCAGCCATCATTAACGCGGTGAATATATAGACGAAAAATGTTGTGAAAACGGCCTGGAATTAAAATTAGGTTTAGATATTTAGACGTATAAATATCTAGATATTAATATCTAGATATCAATTTTACATAGGTTTTCTATTTTTTTATCAAATAATTAAGCTATCTCGTTAACTCACTTGAACGGTTCCTCGAGGAATCGAAACATTCGGTCGAGCCAGTTCACCAGACATGTTTGCTCCAGCCATTAAACCTAAATCAATATCACATTTCGAATAACTATTATCCAATGAATCTTTTAAAATTCTATCATACTGGCAAACCTTTGAATATCTTGAAAGCATAACCAGAAGAAACCTTTTAACAGACCTTATAATAACAGAATTTCCTGCTCAAGCCTCAAGCTCAAGCTCAAGCCCAAGCTGCGACTTACAATAAACTATGCAAGAACTTCGTTATTTCACAGCAAAAAGAAATACAGTACCTAATAGATAAGTTATCTGAAGAATTTTATCTAACCTAAGTTATATCAAAGCGAGCGGACCTCTATTTTTTATGAATTTTCTATATCTTACCAGTAACCCCGGAGAAAATGATGGCGAACATGAGCGCGAAGTCGACAGGCTTATCCGTCGTGTAGTCGTGAGTGTAATTAGTGAGCATGTTGTCGGATAGAGAATGGAAACTAGAAAATATTTATATATAAAGACATAAATATATCTAGATTATAGCTAAATCTATTAAAAGAATTACCTGAAACCGGTGTACTCGGCGGTGAGTGTCTGATTATAGTCAATGTGTGAGCCGGCCGATGGATCGCTGATGTTGTTCAGAACCTGGAATTATAAAAGAATATATCCAAAGTAAATTACCATTTATAGATCACCATATAAATTATTAACTCACCATATAAGCGTTCGTGTTCGTCTTCGGAATCGTGACATTCTTGGCTCCGGTGGTGATCACAGTGAAAATATACGTTGAGTAGCAAAATGAGATCACGATAAAAGTGATGAGTGCTGTTTTTGCCCAGAGAATTTGACAATAGCGTTTTAGGTTGCTGAACTTAGAGGCTCATTGACCCAGGTTTTGTATAACTTTTCCCGGGGGTGGATGATGAGTAAAAGGAATGGAGTTTTAGCTTATTGGACAGAGACCAGCAGGACTGTCAAGGAAATTCCACAAATGTGAATGGATAACTGTATATAATGAACGCTAGTCATTTATCAGCTATAAATCTCTTTCTCTATAGTCTAGTTTCAAATTAAACAGTACTAAAGCTTTTGATCCTTGTGCTAATGTCAAAATGGATATTCTGGTTAAATCCCGGTCACTTTACAGCTTTAACAAGCAATTTTTAGCAGACCAAAGCCGACATTTAGCTCCATAATGACGGTGCGGAGTTTTGCGTAGTCTAACTTTGAACGCGTTTTTCTCGACACTGGTTTAAGCTAAAATGCGCGCTTAGGTATCAAAAAATAGCTGAAATTCCGGCCTGTTTTTTGATACCAAAAACACATTTTTTGAAAGCACGGACGCTTTTAAAAAAATGAAATACTAAAAAACTTTTGCGACTTGCGACTACGCGACTGTACGATTACGGGTATACAGTATTTACGATATCACCAAAACTTACGTCCATTGCCAATATTATTGAGGAGAGCCTCGGTGAATCCTGAGATGTAAAGCGCACAACTGAAAACATTGGCGACAAAGAAAAGCACACCGATCGCTCCACCAAATTCGGGACCAAGCGAGCGAGAGATCATATCTAAAGCAAGTTCTATTGAAAGACCAACTTTTATCTACTTACAGTACACTCCTCCGCCCTCAATCGCTCCATTTGATGAAATGGCGCATAAAGAAAGAACAGTGAGAAGAACGATACAATAAGCCATCAACAATTGCATAACGGTCATCAAGAAACCGAGTTGACCGACAACGAAACCTGAAAAAACATTGAAAATAAAAATGTCCATTTGCATAATATGATAAACAGAAATTGCTAGGTTGTTAGTTTTAATTTCAAGAAGATTGTTGACTCTCACGGACCAATAACGCTTTGAAGATCTATCTTCTTTTGTTTAGAGATAATATTTTCGTTAACTTTTTATATCATTGTACAGAGGACATTTCAGGCTTTCAAATGATACTAAATAGAGATTGATTGGATAATCGAGTTCAAGAAAATCAAAGCCAACTCTGAGCAAATGTGGCCTATCCGACTCGGGTGTCGTGTCACCTGGTTTGTATGGGAATGAAAAATCCAGTCAAGCTCTATTTTGTATCATTAGAAAGTCTAAAATGTCCTCTGTACAATGATATAAAAGGTTAACAAAAATATCGTCTCTAAACAAAGTTATAGGCCTTCAAAGCGACCCGTTCAAATACCCGGATTCTTTCAAAATACCCGAATTCTTTCAGAATACCCGGAAACTACGCAAGTGTCATATTGTTCATATGATTAGGGGATGGCCCAATCGGCCCCAAAGGTCAGCTCAGGCAATTCAAAGCACAGGCTAATAGTAAAACCGACCAGAAGCAGTTCCAGGCCTGGCTCCTGGCGGATGAACCCATCGACTTAAACCAGGCTTGCAGTAAAACTTGATCAGCCAAGACTATTCGCTAATAACTCCCATCTTCACTCACCCATTCGCATGAAGAGCAAAATGCTGAACATCGAAAGGGCAACCGGGGCGAACACTCCGCTTATCGTCGACAATCCGCCCGGTCTCGCCGTTTGTAGATCCAGACCTAAATTTAGATTTTATCAGGCTACAATAAGCTTATTCTTGCTTGTTAGAAGCTGTTTGTTAAGAATTTTATTCAAAAACAATAAAACTCACTCGGCGATGGTGGCCCAGAGGCGGCGGCGGCGCGACTCCGATTGATCGCATCCTCGTCTGAAATTTGTTGCTAAATTTAGCAATAATTTAGCAATAATTTAGCAATTAGATATTAAATTATCCCTTTAATCTATTTGAAATGAAAGATTTACTCAAGATTCTGAATATCAATCTCTTTATTATATCTGAACCTAGATTTCGGATCCTTTCCCGAGGCTCATTTTCGTTTCCCACGGCTTGATCAACGTTTATATGAATGGAATTGATAGCCGTCGAGCCGGGAAAATCATTGCGTATATCCAATTCATCAATCATTTCCATTTTAAGGAAATAAATATAGATAATCAATAATACAGTCAGATAAAAGAAAAATGCAAATTTTCTTTTCTCAAGAAGGTTAAAACTTTTGCAATTTCAAAAGTCAGCTTTTAAACGCCCCAAAACGCGTATTGCTTTAAGAATTTAAGAATATTCAGCTTTCTAATGAAAATCTTTGGCTTATTGACAAGATTGCAAAATATTCAGCTTAGATAATCGAATGAATCATGGGAGCAAGCTGGGAGTAAATGGGAGCAAGCTTAGTAAATGGGAGCAAAGCTTTGAGGTGAGTGGAATGGTCAAACTTTGATGAAGAAATATTGGAAAGAATAGCGAGAGAACAGGGTATAAACAATGTGTCTCTTGAGCTTTTCACTCTCCTCTATTCCCTCAATATTTCTCTCTCTTTTTGGCCAATCGACCCGATATGGGGTGAGTGACATGAAGGGGAAGGAAACGAAAAATTGAATGGAAGTTGGAGGTGTAGATGAGTTGTGTCATTCCATGAGAAGATCATTCCATGAGAAGATCAAATCATCAGTTTATTGTTTTCCTTTTGATCAGCTGATTTTTGAGGGGGAAAGCCTTGGAAAAGTTTGATTGATTTGATTGGAATGATTGGGGAATTTTGCACAATTGAAATCTTGTACATGATGAGTTTTTATATTTTCAATATTTTCCCCCATCCCATTCTTGATATTCTTCTCATTTTATACCCCATCAGAACAAATCTTTTCTATTTTCACTCGATTCAAATCGCTGGACTCAACCGGAAGTGCTCCCGGTTGTTCCCCTCCTAGCAACGATTTTCCCCCCAAAATCTCTCCACAAATCCTTTGAGATTTTTCTGCTCATGTGACCCCTCTTTTTGGGAATTAAACGAACAAAACACCAGTGAGCAGACTGAAGATTTTTATGTGTTACATTGAAGTATAATTGGAGGAATGAATGGTGAAAGCTAAGCGCAAACCCCAAGTTCAAGATCTGATCAAGCATTAATTCTGAAGAAGAAAGGATACGAACAAATTAAACGATAACAAATTAAACGAATAAATTAAACGAATAAATTAAACGAATAAATTAAACGAACAAATTAAACGAACAAATTAAACGAATAAATTAAACGAACAAATTAAACGAATAAATTAAACAAACAAATTAAACGATAACAAATTAAAGACGATAAAAAATCCCAATTTACAAATTAGTCCTATCACTAGCTTAATTTAAACCTTAATAAAGTGTTTAAGATAAAGAAATTTTGCACAATTTTTGAATTCATAAGTGGCTATAAAATTGAACCCACAAGTTCTACCAGTTTAAAACTTTAAAACTGGTAGAAACTTGTGGACTGGTAGGTAAGAAACTGGTAGAGCTTCTTCCAAAGCAAGAACCTTATAGTTAGATATTCTTTGTTATCCGTAGGTTAATCTCTATCATTTTTGGTAATGATTTTTATTATCAGAGCCATTGCTAAAGACTTACATTCGAATGGTGGCAGCTCATCGGTGGTGGGCTCATTGTAATGGGGATTGTCGAATGAGAGTGGGGAGGACATTGGAAAAGAAATGAAGGGAGAATGATGAGAAGAAGATGGCTTTAGCTCATCAAGCAGAAGAACGAGAGTCGGTGGAAGAGGTTGGGATCACGTGAAATTGAATGAAGCTTAGACTAGCCGAGTAGTAAATCGATGAAGTCGATTTAAACCTTTAGAATATCAAATAAAATATTCAATTGTTGAAGTGAGAATTTGTTTGCGGTAGTTTGATGGCTAAAACTAGAGTAGCTGAATGCTTTGAAGCTTTAGTATTCAGTATGAAAGAAATATTCAGTACAGAGTTGTACAGAGTAGTGAAAGTTGAAATATGATGAAGAAGAGGCTTGAAACTTTGGTGAGGCTGAGGGTGAGGCACCGATTTGTGTAGTACAAAGCTGTAGTTGAATATAAGATCTTCTTTAGATCTTCTTTAGATCTTCACTGTTCAATAAATATCATCAGAATATCAAATTGAAATATCAAGAATAAAAATGGAATTGTGAAACGTGATCTGTTTCGGCGCAGGCCTTGAAATTGGGGGTTTCTGAAGAGTGGCAGAGAATGGAGAGCGGAGAAAAGAGAGAGATCAAATGAGTAAGTGACGGGTTTTTTTTTCCGAGGAGAGGTGCTTTCTTGGCAAATATACTCACATATATACAACAAAATGGAGAAAAAGAAGAGGTGTCAGAGTTGAAAAAAAGAAGAAAAATGTGGGTGAGAACGTAAACCCTTTCTTTAAATCTCTTCCTCTCTTTCACTTCAATATTTTGAAAGCTTATTTTTACTCTCTTCGCGTGCTTTTTCAAGTTATCAGTTTTTGCTTTTGAAGAAAACTTTCTGCTTCTTTTCTTGAATCATCTTGGAATCTTGAATCCTAATCTATTCTAGTACTTACAATTAGTTTGTACATCTGGAAATTGAGATTTATTTCATGGCGCTTTTTTGTTTTACAGATAGCTTTATCAAATGTTAACAGATTTTGATCTTTTTATTGGGTTGGTGAATTGAAAATTGCCGGCTATTGTCATATGCCACAGTTTAAGCACTTTCTTCAAAAGAAACCCATTTTGGTGTCAATGGAAAAGTTGTAGAGAATCAAAAATAGAGCTTGGATATCCAAATTTTCAGGGTGGTTGAGAGGCTGGTTTCTCAAGGAATGCCAAATTTTTGCCTAGAATTTTTCACAAACTTGCATTTAAAGCGGAAACTACAAAGTGTTTCTTTTTGGAAATTTGGCTATAAGCTTAATTTTTGATTCTCTACAACTTTTCTATTGACACCAAAATGGATTTCTTTGTGATAGAAAAGTGCTTCAAACTTCGACATCTCCAGTCCTCCATTTTTGAGTCTCACACACAAACCAAAATCCTACTACGAAAGAGGAATCCGCAAATTGCCTGTAAAATGGGCAGAAGTCGGTCGGCAAAATAATTTGGTCTTCAATTTTCTTAACTCAACCGAATTTTGTGGTTCTTGATAAACGTTAACGACCTAGCTTTGATAAATTACAGGATTTTCTAGATTAACGCTGTCTCCTTACTTAAAATCAACGGCGAGGCGTCAAATTTCGGTTGATTTTGTGAAGGGGTGGCTTGAGTGAGCGGATTGCTTTGCGGAGTCGGATCTTCGAATAGATTGTTCACGATTCCTAAATGTAGATTTTAAAAAACTCCTTCTAACTATAAAGTCAATAGATTATTATCTGAAAAGCTTCCCCCACTCACCTCCATAGCTCTGATTGGTGATCGAATTAAGAGTGATCCTCGGTTCGACCATTCGAGAATCGATTTCTAGAGAAAAGTATACGTATAAAAGAATTTAATAGATAAGAAATATCAGAAATATCTCGGTATTAAAAGGTTTTCAAATAGATTTGAAGCTTTTTGATTGGAGATTCATTTTCATTGATTTTCATTGATTGGTGTATGCATGGACTGGACGATGAAAAATGTTGCGAAAAAGGAATTTTTGAGTGGCGGAGGTAAGATTGACAAGTGTAGGCCTGTGATGCATGTCAAGCTCGTTTTCACTTGATTAACGTCTTTAAACTTTGCATTCTGATCAACCTGTTCCACCAACATCACTTTGATGTAACATTATATCGGATAGAAACACTGCTATCAGGCTTGCTACAGTGCGCGTCAAAATGCTAGGTTCACCCGATTTCTCAAAAACTATGGCAGAAATGAATACCATATTTGGGGTAGATGGACCTTTAATTTGATTCTTGATAAATATTCAATAGTTTAAAAAAGTTTTTTATCGGTAAAATCGGTAATTTATCGGTAAAATTTATGAGTATTTTGGAAAAACTCAAAAATTGAGGTAAAAACCGGTAAAAACCGTCAAAATGATAGGTCCACCACTTTATGCGCTTAATGCCTTGATAGTTTTTAAGAAATTGGGTGGACCTATCATTTTGACGCGCACTGTATCTATTCTGACCCATAGGTTGGTACGCTTAATTCTTTTCGTTTTCGCGGTACTTCTGTTACAAAAGAATCAGATTCACCAATTAATCTAGTGCTTGCTCTATATAAAAAGTGTTTTTTTGTTCAATTTCCATCTTTTTAAATGAATTTCGGTTGACTTTCAAGCAAATTCGAGAGTGAAAAACGCCTTTTCGTAAAAATCTATAAAAAACTCTACGGAAAAATTGGCTGAATGAATTTCTCTGAAATTTTGGCGAAATATCAAACGTTTTTTTTCTCTATCTTTTATCTATTGACACGAAGATAGGTTTTCTTTAGCTAAGGTGTCTAAACCGCATCATCGAGTTAGCCCTTTTGACTGTTCGACTTCATGCTCTCAAGAAAATCCAGGCATTAAATATTTTTAAACCCGTTTTAATGTTATTTTGCAGGAAAAATATTCGTTTTTCTAATAAAATCAACCGTAGTTTAAGTGGTGCATTTAGTTAGCTTGAAACGACAGACGAAAAGGAACAAAAACCACTTATGCATCAACCTAATAGTATTTATAATTAGTTCTGGCACTATTCTGAGTACCCCACAGATTAGTTTGTAAATCTGGAAATTGAGATTTATTTCATGGCGCTTTTTTGTTTTACTAATAGCTTTATCAAATGTAAACAGATTTTGATCTTTTTTTTTGTATCAATCGACGCAGAATTGGATTGAGAATAAAATTCTGAATATTCTGAATCGATTCTGAATATTCTGAATATTTTTTTTTTTTTTTTAAATACCGACTGGGGCTACCAGTGGTGAATTTATCGCATACACGAAATATATCAATCACAATACAACGACACACACAATACTAGGCTATATCTTAACTTAACCCACGTCATGACAGACGGCTCCCTAACCCTAAGCTCAATGGGGAACTAAAAAAAAAAAAAAAAAAAAAAAAAAAAAAAAAAAAAAAAAAAAAAAAAAAAAAAAAAAAAAAAAAAAAAAAAAAAAAAAAAAAAAAAAAAAAAAAAAAAAAAAAAAAAAAAAAA